CACGGTCGGGGGCTGTGGATGGAGGCTGGATGGGGGCTGTGGACGGGGACTGGACGGGGAGCTGTGGACAGGACGGGGCTGGCTGGGACCCTGGCTCATGCACCACTGCTCTGCAGACATCGACGACTGCCTGGGCCGGCCATGCCGCAACGGGGGCACGTGCATTGACGAGGTGGACGCCTTCCGCTGCTTCTGCCCCAGTGGCTGGGAGGGCGAGCTCTGCGACACCAGTGAGTGGGCAGCGTCCCCGAGAACCCAAGGCCTGTGTGGGGGTGGGGCAGGAGGCCGTGTGCCCACCGCCCGCCACCCCCGTGTGCCTGGGGTGCCGCCCCTCACCCCGAGTGGAGTCGACCCCCACGCCCCAGCCAGGCCCACTCCAGCCACCCACGTTCCCCACCCATTCCTCTGTCTCTTGCTGGCCCCGCTCTGGCACCAACTCCCCCAGGCAGCCCTTCCTGAGCGTCACGACCCCTGTTGATCCGCATGCTTGCCCCCAGATCTCAACGACTGCCTTCCTGACCCCTGCCACAGCCGCGGCCGCTGCTACGACCTGGTCAATGATTTCTACTGCGCCTGTGACAACGGCTGGAAGGGCAAGACCTGCCACTCACGTGGGTGTTGCTGCCGCCCCCGGCGCCCCCTGCCCTGCGCCCTCTGTCCTCGGCCCTGTGCTCTCTGCCCTCTCTCCTCTGCCCTGCGCCCTGTGTCCTCTGTCCTCTGCCCTGCGCCCTCTGTCCTCTGCCCTGCGCCCTGTGCCCTCTCTCCTCTGCCCTGCGCCCTCTGTCCTCGGCCCTCTGCCCTCTCTGGTGCTGTGGGGGCAGGGCGCAGCCCGCCTGCCCAGGCCTGCCCGCTGAGCCCCCCTTGTCCCCCAGGCGAGTTCCAGTGCGACGCCTACACGTGCAGCAACGGGGGCACGTGCTACGACAGCGGCGACACCTTCCGCTGTGCCTGCCCCCCGGGCTGGAAGGGCAGCACCTGCAACATCGGTGAGGGTGCCGGCTGGCCCCCACCCCCTCCGGCACCCCACCCCTCTGGGCCCTGGGCCTCCCCTGTCTGGGTTGGGGTCTGCCCGGGGCCAGCTGAGCAGTCCTCTCCTTCTTGTCCCCACTCCTCCTGGAAGCCGAGAACAGCAGCTGCCTACCCAACCCCTGTGCGAACGGCGGCACCTGTGTGGGCAGCGGGGACTCCTTCTCCTGCATCTGCCGGGACGGCTGGGAGGGCCGCACCTGCACGCACAGTGAGGCTGGGGCACAGGGGGCCTGGGGGTGGGATATGGGGGTGGGGACGCCTGCCAACCGCTGCCAGCTGGGGGCTCCTGCTGAAATGCAGCCCCTCGCTCCCAACTAAAGGCCCTTCCGCAGATCGAGGCCCAACCCCCTCCAGAGTCACTGCCACCCCTCCCCCTCCTCTCCACGCTGGTCAGGGCCACTTCCTCCAAGAAGCCCTCCTTGCCCTTCCCTGCCCCTCCCTGCCCCATAGCCTGGTTCTGTCAGGTTCATGTTGGCAGTACTGAGCCTGGGACTCCTCGAGGGCTGCTGGGCCCCAGGCCTGGGCACAGCAGGGCCTGGACGGGTGACAACTTAAGTGACCGCTCTCTATCGTTCCCTTCTCAAACCCAGACACCAATGACTGCAACCCGCTGCCTTGGTGAGTGGCTGCCGGAGGCTGGGGGTGCCGGGGGCCTGGCTGGCACAGTGGGCCCCCACTGACACCCCTCTTCTCACCTGCAGCTACAATGGTGGCGTCTGCGTTGACGGCATCAACTGGTTCCGCTGCGAGTGTGCACCCGGCTTTGCGGGTCCCGACTGCCGCATCAGTGAGTGGACAGGTGGCCGCAGGCGGGGGGTGTCGCTGTCCGCGCCCTGAGGAGCAGTGCAGCCACAGATCGCCCTTTGTCTCCCAAGCCTCGGTTTCCCCACGTGTCTGCCCCGCCAGGACCCAGAGCACACTTTGCTGTGGTGAAGAAGGGGGCCTTGCCCACGGGGACTGGAGTGTACAGCCCACTGTGGCCTGTCCACAGCCACAGGGCTGGCGGGCAGGGTGTCAGCGTGCTGTGTCCCATTCACGGCCACAGGGCTGGCGGGCAGGGTGTCAGCGTGCTGTGTCCCATCCACGGCCGCAGGGCTGGCGGGCAGGGTGTCGGCGTGCTGTGTCCCATTCATGGCCGCAGGGCTGGCGGGCAGGGTGTCGGCGTGCTGTGTCCCAT